ATACAGTAAAAACATTAAGGTTTGCAAAGGGGTGACAAATTTCTGGAAACTTTCCCAAAATTCCCAGAAGGTTTTTTTTCTACATTTCTGGAATCTTTCCGAAATTTACTGGAAATCTTCCACCTTTTTGCAACCCTACTCTGGGCGGACACAGTAACGGGCAGTGTACTCTGCTGAAGTGTCCTGTACCTGGTTTCCTGTAGTTGGTGTAACAGCGCTGCTCTCAGGGGTGCTGGCGAGGGCCAGAGCGGTGGCCAGCTCACTTTGAGTGATGGGTCTGGGGCCCACGGCGCCGTTATAACCGAGCGAAGCTGGCCTCATGCCGGCCAAACCACTAGCAAGAGTGGACAGCCCACCGCGATTCCCCTACAGATGATAAACTGGCTTAGGATCCAATACTGTTAATGCACTATTCCTAATGAAGAACAGTAAATCATGACAAACCGACTGGAAGTCCTCCTCGTCATCAGACATGCCTTCAAAGAGGAAACCTCCTGTAGATTAAAAAAAGTTTATGCATAAAAACTTCTATGGATCTCCAAATGACCCATCACATTATGTAAATGGTGGGCAATTTTTCACTTAAACTGCGTTTAAATGGACACCCACCTGGCATGTCGCTGTAAGAGCTAGAAGACACGTTTCTGGAGGAGCTGGCGCTCTGTTGGGGCGGCACGCTGCCAGCCACCGAGTGCAGCACCAGGATGATGGCATTTACCAGTGCCGGGTGGGAACTGGCCAATCTGGTGAGACAGTTAAGCTCAGGGTATCGTTTGCTTTAACCCAAAGTGCACCACATGATTCAAATGCCACATTCTGAGGCGGTTAAACCTCGGATTCAACAGGAAGTCAACACGATATGGTGTTCACAACTGTTCTACCATGTGACATCAGCCAAAAGTTGTTTTAAAAACAAAATAAATAATTTATTGTTATTAATTATTATAAAATCAGTACCAGACAAACTTGACTGCTTATGCTTTAAATAAGACAAAAATAAATTCAATCCAAATATGATTTTTTTTATTAATTGTATTATTATTATTATTTCAACATTGATTAATTAATCATAATAACATAATAATAATAATAAATATTATTATAACATTACTGATTTAATACTAATATTATTATTATTAATAGAAGCGATATTAATAATTATATTTATTATTATAATACTGATTAATTAATAATAACATTATTGATTTATTTCATATTTATTATATTATTGTTATATTATTATTATTATTGCATTAGTTAATATATTATTGGGGATAATGTATATTGGGGATAACATTATTAATAATGAAACATTATTTCAACATTGATTAATTAATAATAATAACATAATAATAATAATAGTTTAGTGGTAGTTGTATTCCTAATAGTAATATTAATTATAATTTTATTATAATACTGATTAATTAATTAATAATAACGTTATGTATTTATTATTATATATTATATTATATATTTGATTACAATAATTATTAGTGTATTATATCCGTTAATAAATTATTGCATTATCAATTCATAACAATATTACTGATTTTTTATTATTATTATTGATGTATTATTATTATTATTTTACATATAACATTGATTTATTGATGATGATGATGATTATTATTATGTTTATTATGAATTACTTAATATGATTATTGTTGTTTTTCTTATTAGTAATAGTAATAATAATTGTTAATATTACTAATAAGAAAACATCAACAACAATTATTATTAATATTTATTAGTTTATAATAACCCATTTATTTGTTGTTGCTGTTGTATTATTATTTTTTACATAAAACTATTTATTATTGTTGTTTTTCTTATAATTAGTACTACTAATAATAATCTTATTTATTCATTTATTTTGGATCAGTTGTATGTAATGATGCTCACTCACGTGTCAAGCATGTTTGGGTCAGTGAATTGTATGAAGAGGTCTTTGTCTTGAAGAACCCCTAAAAATACAGTCAATAAACATGAATAAGTCTTCAACACGCCTCATATCACAAATCACCTCTGCCTGCAATCATACAGTACCCAGAGCCACAGGATCGCTGCTCAGCCCAGGTGTCGCCACGATGATCTGGTCGAGGGATTCCTTGTTGTTCAGCATCTTGAACACCTGGAATGAGTGAACCGCTACTCAAACATGTTCCCAAGGATCCAGAACCAGCAGCAGAGACACTCATGGTCAGAAGTGAATCTGTATGCTGCTCTAGTCAACCTACCGAGTCTCTGTATGCAGTGCTAACCTACCGAGTCTCTGTATGCAGTGCTGGTGTGAAGAGCGGCCTGCAAGACACGGAACTCCCTCGCAGCCGCAACCTTGTCCACTGGCTCTATAGGAGAACATACAGGAAATAATAATGGACTGTATTCAGGGTGCACTTTTGTCTTTTTGGAACTTGCCAGTGTCCATCTTTATCTCCATTCTTTGTGTTCCACTGAAGGCCGTAAACACGACTCACCAGGATGGATCTCAGGCTCAGGCCAACACTTTCTCAGGATGTGCACTGTGGATCCCGACTGAATCCCATAGGACTCCAGAGTCAAGTCATCCTTTAACTTTCTGCCACAGTACACCAATTCTGTAATGCATAAAGATAATGGGAAACTGTTTGCAATCTTGTCAAGATTCCTCTAGGGCAGGGGTGCACAAACTCGGTCCTGGAGGGCCGGTGTCCTGCAGAGTTTAGCTCCAACCCCAATCAAACACACCTGAAGCTAATCAAGCTCTTACTAGGCATACTAGAAACTTCCAGTCAGGTGTGTTGAGGCAAGCTGGAGCTAAACTCTGCAGGACACCGGCCCTCCAGGACCGAGTTTGGACACCCCTGCTCTAGGGGTTATTCCCAGAATTGATTAATTATTTTATTTTAATTTTTTATTTTTGGAAACATGAAACTCTTTTGAAGTGTCTTTAGATTTCATCACAAAAGGGACACATTTAAGTTTTTAAAAGTCATAGTTCCAGCTTGATGACTTAAATTCTATTATATATTGTTATATTATATTATATTATATATAAAAAATTTTAACAAATGAGATACACCCCATTAAGGGGAAAAAATTGTCTAATAGACTTACAATATAAACCTAAAATAATATGTCCCTTATTTGTCCCTTGTAATATTAGTTATATTTTGTTGATAATGTTAAAAACAAAACTTGTGAAATTTACTATTTAAACCATAAAATTACATCCTACTAGTAAGATTGGTAACATTTTACTTTAAATATATAATGCTTTTTAATTATGTCTTGTAATGCACCTTATAATGCATTTATATGAACTATTACACAGTTATAATACATTTAATACCTATAAATTATTCTTAAGTAACCAATAGAAAAATGCAGCAGTAAATCTGCAAATAATATAATGATTTTAACTTTGGTTGCAATTATTTATGAAAAGATTGAATGCCTCTCTTTAAAAAAAAAAAGAAGCTATTACTTAGTAGGATAATTTTTTTTATTAATAACAGTTGGGATATAATAAATAAATATTAATAAAGCTGGAATAGAAACTAGTAATTATTAAGTTATTAGTAACCAGGAAATAAGTAGAGTACTATTACCCAATGAACAGTTACTAGCAAAATTATAATTGATACCGGCGACAATTGCAATACAAACTAGACAAAAGTGATTAGTTCATATCTGAACCACAAAGAATTCAAAGCATTTTGTTAACATATTGATATAGCAAAGGAACATTTATCTTTGATTATCATAGTAACTACTAGCAAAACAATAAGTACACTAATATCTCATAAATAGACAATAAAATTGAAAAGATAGTCACCAAATAATTTTTTTTAAATAATATAAATTAATAAGCGCTAGTAAAATAACAGTAAATAATAAGCGCTAGTAAAATAACAGTAAATAATAAGCGCTAGTAAAATAACAGTATTAAGTATAATTAATAAGTAACCCTTATTTAGCTACCTAATTACCTTTTAATGATTTTAATTTGATTTTGAAGTCCACATCAAATTATAACATTATAAATAAAGGCGCAGTGTTTTTAATCAGTTCAAATGTGACAGCATTAATGCCATACTGTCGTCTAATATTACAATGATAATATTACATATTATATGTTACCTGCTATAACATATAAGTATATAAGAAATTAAAAGCTTTTTACTGGTGGTGGTTGACGAGAGACCCCACATGATTGTAGAGCGCTTTGGGTGTGCGGCTATACAAATGCACCATTCATTCATTCATTCATACCTATGAGCTCAGGGTCTGGTATGGCATGTGGGATGTGAGCCGACAGCAGCTGCTTGAGAGCGGAGACCCGATACTCTCCGGGAGGAGCATCTCCAGGCTCGGTCTCTGGGAGCCGCAGCACTGACTTGGGAAGAGAAGGCTGGTCCAGCAGCTTGAGAGACAGACGCCACTGTGACAGCGCCATTGAGCTCCACGGACTAGAGATGAGGCGCTGTCTTTGGCAACGCACAGAAACGACGAATATATCTATCAATCTTGTAAACGCTGTCTGTCTTTGAAATAAACAGTATCATGCGACTGTTTTCATCCGCGCGCCATGACGTCACGCAGGAAAGATGGCCGTTCTGGGAATTGTAGTTTTCCTGATGTGTGTACAGACTGTAGTTCTCGCGTGTGAACAGAGAGGGCAGTGTATGGAGGACGAAACCTGCAAAAACAATAAAAATGCAAATACATAAATAAATGTGTGTATAAATACACAAATTCTTGTTTAAATACATATAGAAATAATTAAACGTGATTAAAGTAGGCAAATAAATAAAATAAATTGGTGGGCAAATGGAAAATGTTTAAGGAAATGCCTATTTATTTTCCTTTGATCACTTATTTATTTCTGAATGTAGTCCCGCATTTATTTTTCCTCTGCACAACATGCTAATGAGAGGGTGTCAACCGTGGACTTGGTCGGGTCTTGTGATAGCTGGGGGCGCGGCTTTCCCGCTGACCGGAGATGCATGGTGTAAATCCAGTATAGCCCAGTAAAGTCACTTTTGCCGTTCAACAGAGCAAGATACATAGAAAAATTGAGCCGTATTGTCCGTACAGTATCTGTGACTTTACAAACGACCCGACGGAATGGCCAGAGGTGTCATTTCCCGGCACTCGATATTCGCAAATCTAGGGACCGTTTCTAAAGTTACATACGACATTTGTATACACTTTTCTAACTTCAATAGCATTTGAGGAAAATTACTTACAGTAACACAACCAACTGTGAAGTGGTCGTGTAGGCCTCAGTTATAATGTGCACCTTTTAGATTTTTGATATTTATTGAAATAAACTGTCAATTCATATCTACACTGTAAAAAACTTAGTGTAGAAATTACAGTAACTAACTGACAACGGTTCGCTGTAAAAATAAAAATAAGAGCTGTTAATCAACTGTAGAGAACTGTAAATTGACAGTTCATTACTGGCAGCAACCACAGCTGCCAGTATTCTACTGTTATTTTCAGGATGTCATGCCAATAAAGCAATATGAATTGAACTGAGTTGAAATTAATAATTGATTACTAAGCAATTAAATTAGATTATTATCTTTCTTTCTTTTTTCAGATCGAATGCCATCAATGCAGGAGGCGGTTTCATGTGCCTTCCAGTGACAGACAGCCAGTTCAAGAGGGCTCAAAAGGTTGACTGGAAGTGCTGCCTATGTAAATAGTTTTAAATTCTGCAAATCATCTAATATATTACAGTTCTTTAATGTAAAGTTTCAGGTTTGGGTTGGGAGAGGGCATTGGGAAAATTAAAAATATGAAGTTACACAGTTGTCATTATTTTCTTTTTCCATTGTTATTTAATGGAACTGCTAATTTTACAATTTGTGCATATAGTTTTACAGTAACTGAAAAGTGAAGCAAACCAATTACAGTCAACTTTACAGTATAACAGTATATTTTCTATTGTTTTAAAATGCATTACTCAAGAAAGGACCAAAAAATGAATACAATAATAAAATATTTTACAGTTAAACAATATTACACTGTAAATACATTTACAGCAAGTTAAATGACACGGTAAAATAAAATACAGTATTTTTGCTACAAAATAAAATTACAGTAAGTTACGAGTGGACTGCTGCCTGTTAGTTACTGTAATTTCTACAGGAAGTTTCATTTACAGTGTAGATATTAATTCACCATTTATTTTAATAAATATCAAAAATCTAAAAGGTGTGCATTATAGTTGACACTTACATGAACACTTTACAGTTGGTTTTATGACTGAGTCATTCTCCTCAAATGCTATTGAGCTTTAAATTATGGCATAATTTGTGCTTGAGCCCATATTCGTAAAGAAAAAAATTGCAATATTTACATATGATTTGACCGTTTATTTTAATAAATATCAAAAATCTAAAAGGTGTGCATTATAACTGAGAACTACATGAACATGTTACAGTTGGTTGTGTTACTGTAAGTCATTCTCCTCAAATGCTATTGAGTTTTAAATTATGATTTATATTTTGTGTCTGAGCCCATTCGGTAGTGAAATAAACAACATATTTATATATGATTTGACAGTTTATTTCAATAAATATCTGAGACCATTATAACTGAGACCTACACGACCACTTCACAGTTGGTTGTGTTACCGTAAGTAATTTTCCTCAAATGCTATTGAAGTTAGAAAAGTGTAAACCAATGTTGTATGTAACTTTAGAAACGGTCCCTAGATTTGCGAATATCGAGTGCCGGGAAATGACACCTCTGGCCATTCCGTCGGGTCGTTTGTAAAGTCACAGATACTATATGGACAATACGGCTCAATTTTTCTATGTATCTTGCTCTGTTGAACGGCAAAAGTGACTTTACTGGGCTATACTGGATTTACACCATGCATCTCCTGTCAGCGGGAAAGCCGCGCCCCCAGCTATCACAAGACCCGACCAAGTCCATGGTTGACACCCTCTCATTAGCATGTTGTGCAGAGGAAAAATAAATGCGGGACTACATTCAGAAATAATTGAGTGATCAAAGGAAAATAGTTAGGATGAGTTTAGCATTTCCTTAAACATTTTCCATTTGTCCACCAATTTATTTTATTTATTTGCCTACTTTAATCACACGTTTAATTATTTCCATATGTATTTAAACAAGAATTTGTGTATGTATACACACATTTATTTATTTATTTGCATATTTATTTATTTATTTGTGTATTTATTTATTTATTGTTTTTGCAGGTTTCGTCCTCCATACATAATAGGCTACTTTGAAGTAAACGCTTTGTGTTTTTTCCCAAAATGTTCCGAGTCACTTATATGTCATATTGTAATGAATGTAATGTAATGAATAGCCTGCTAAAGGTGCACAGCCTGTTTTGTTCCTTGGAACGTATCTGCTCTTTTCACAAACCAACTGGGCAAAGCTAGCATTAGCGGTTAGCATTTATTAACCTCAATGGCGGTTGCTCCGTTATGAATCCCCGGTAAATACCGTGTGTAATTTCAAATCTGTCATTTTTGCTCGTTGGCACAAGTATAGTAAGGACATCTACCAGTAGGGGCTATAACTACACCATACTAACACCAGGTTCACCTACTGTATAATAAATAATGCTAAATGAGCAGTTTCAGCTAGAAACGATATAAAACACCTTGCTTACCACTCAAATTTAGTCTTTCAAAGGTAGCATTAGCAATAATCTTAAATCTATGACTGTTTGCTTTATATTCATTCATGCATTCATTCCTTTCCACTATGCTTTGTTTGGATCAGTTCTTTAATTTCCAAGCTCTCATATCCATCAGTTCTCGGTGCTAGTCGGGGTTTTAGTGAGGTAGGACTGTGTTTGTGCTGTCAGTGACAGATGGTCTCTTGGCTGGATACGCTTCTCGGAGAGCGCCAGTCTTCACTGAGCTCCTCCACTGACAGAGCCTGAGGGAATCAGGACACACCAGTTATGACGGGGATAGAGCAAGCGTCCAGACATTTCACACCCTGCGAAGAGACGCCCTGTTCAGCCAGAGCCGGTGAAACGTGGCTCCACTACAAAGGGACATCACTTTGGGCTTGTCTAAAGATCAAGACAAGTCTGAAAGTCTGTGCCGTGCAGATTAGAGGAACTGTGGCCGCTTCCAAACTACCACAGTGACCACTCAGACTTTGGTCATTTTGAAGTGGAAATCAGACGCCCTCATTGTAGCAGGAGACTAGGAGAATTTTTGACATTTTACTTCAGAATAATGGCTATGTCCTCTGGTTTGACATGCCATACTCCATTATTTCAAACATTATCTTTTTGTGAACATTATGCACACAACTCATTTTAACTTATAGAAATTGAGAGACTCATAGAATATTTGTATTTGTACGATTTGTACGAAAAAAAATCAAAAGTCGAGAAAACATGAAAGTTTAAGGCAACCAGCCTCAGGAGATTTTTGAGATTTCTCAACGTTTTGTTGTATAAACTGAATACAAGAAGTTGAGAGAACTTTCATGTTTTCTCGACTTTTGATTTTTTACAGTGTAGAGAATACACATGCACGCACGCACGCACGCACACAGACACACACACACACACACACACACACACGCACGCACACACACAGACCCACACACACACACACAAACTAATAAAAATTACAAAAAGAAATAAAAACACACAACAAAATTACAAAAAGAAAAATTTTAATTAACATTTTCATTACCTGAAATGAAATAAAATATTTAAAAAATTAACTTATTTTATTTCATCTATAGTTTCCACGCAATATTTCTCACTTAGTACAACTAAAACTGAAATAAAATGAATAAAATCTGTATTATATGCATTTTTTTAAAGAAAGAAAGAAAAGAGAAAATGATGCAAAGTGATGCTTGTTAATATATTTACTTTGCGAAAAGCTAGATTTTAAGAAAACAACTTTTAGGTTTTTTCATATTTGGCAGCTTAATGGAGTTGTCAGATATTTTTTATGAACACTATCTTGGTCTTAGATATTTATTTTAAAATTTCTCAGAAAAAAAAACAGAAAATTGACCAAAAATTACATATATTTATATATATATTAACAATTAAAAATAACTGTTCTCAATTTAAATATAGTTTAATTTAATTCATTTGAATAATTACCATTATTATGTATTTGAAAGAAGTCTCATACATATTATTATGTATACACGCACACACACACACACACACAACTTAATATATATATTACATTAATCATATTATAATTATATTTTGTATTATAATTTCAAATAACTTTTCTATTTTAATATATTTTGAGAAATAATTAATTGGAATAAGTACCCTTTTAATGTTTTTGAAATAAGTTTCATATATATATATATATATATATATATATACACAGACACACACATAAACGTGTGTGTATATATATCTGTGTGTGTGTGTGTGTGTGTCTGTGTGTGTGTGTGTGTAAATATATAAATGTAAATATATATATATATATATGAAGTTCAGATTTTTGATTACAGATTTTGTTATCTTGGTAAATTTGAAAATTTGAGACATTGTTGGTCTTTGTCTCACGAGAAAATTCTGAGATGCAGAGGAGATAATAGAACGTCTCA